AAGAAAAAAAAAATTACATAAAAGATACTAAACAAATAAATTTTAACATGACAATTGCTTAATAGCATTAATTTTAGTATAATAATGGTTTCATAATATGTCAAATTCAGATGAAAATTAATTTAGATTTTCATTTAAATCAGAAAGCAGATTTAGTTAATCAAATTAATAATCTGTAGTGCTATTATTTGTTAGCACTGAATAAAAATTTAGCATAAATTATAGCATTTTTTCAATTAGCAAAACTTTTACTACCAAGATGTTTACATTTATTTAGTTCACTGATGATTAGTTTCTAAAAACAAACAAGTCCCATGAGAAATGTTCCCCTGGATTTGCAACTTTTTATTATATAACAAGTAAAACATGGATGTATTATGCTTTAATGAAACACAGAAAAATCTATTTACTTTGTAAGAAAATTTAATCATTGAAGATGAAAAGTGGGTGAATGCGAATTTGACCATTTAGATCAAACACTGAAACGTTGCAGTTTATTACCTATGTTGTAATCATGCAAACTTTAGCAAACTTGTACTTAGCAGACATTTTCTATATAGATGGAAGAGTAAGAAAAACAAGTCTCACTAGAAACTTCTTTAAAATTATACTTGATTACTCTGATTAACCATATCTTGGAAGTATTTTTTTATTTTATAGATAAAGGTGACTTTAATTGGAGGTTAGATATAACATGATAGGTAAGGATAGAAGATCATTTTATGTCTCTACATTCTATTAAACTATACTTCATATCATTTAAAATTGTTAAGAGAGTGGAGTAAATATTTACTTAAACATCTTACATTTGACTTCATTCCTCTAGATAATATTTTAGTTAATTAACTTCTATGAATTATACAGTTAATGGATATAGATTTGTTATTTAAAAGAGGCTTCATAATATTTTTAGTAGCTGTCATTGCACTACATTTTTTTAAGTGGAAAATAGTTGTACAGAGTTTTAAAATCTACTGGCAGAACTGAGTCATGCCCAACAATATTTCTACTGCATAAATAGTATAGCATGAGACCATTATGTTATTAAACAAGCTGAACATTTTCGTCTATTTTGATCATTAGTGTTTTTCAAAGAGAGAAAATAAAGTAGTTGAATTACTACTCCCTTTGTTTTCCTGCCAGTCTTTTTCTTTGAAGAAAATGAATGTGACAAGTGTGTTTTGTGCATTCTAATTTGTACTCTGCCTTGAGCAGGTTTTATGTTTATTTAGCAGCTATTGGTGACTCTGTCACTTTATGTTTTATCAGGAGCTACAACCATAGAGAAATATGACCTCAGAACGAATTTATGGATCCAGGCAGGGATGATGAATGGCAGAAGGTTGCAGTTCGGTGTAGCTGTTATTGATGACAAACTCTTCGTAATCGGAGGTCGAGATGGATTAAAGACATTGAACACTGTTGAATGCTACAATCCCAAAACTAAGACTTGGACTATCTTACCACCAATGTCAACACATAGACATGGCTTAGGTAAGATCTCTTACTTTATTGACATTAATCTTAGCAAATATTTTGATAATGCAAATGTATGTTGACATTCAATATAAATACCATAAGTTTTTGTGGGTTTATTTCAAGCACACTTTCTATTTAAATTTCTTGATACTTTCCAGTATTGACAAATGTAAGTTAAAACATTCGGGAAATGTTGAAGACAACAAACTGAATGGACCTCAAGTTGTTCTAAAAATTTTCAGTCTTGTATTCATCTATTTGCAAAAACAAAAAGTACCAAAACCCAAAGAAAGAAACAATTTTGTGAACTATATAAAACTTAAAATAGCCTCCCTAGAGCTAGACAGGAAAGTTTTCTTATTTTTGATAATAACTGAGTCCAACTTGAAAAATCTGTGGACAACAGTGAAATGTCAGGTGGCACCATGAGACAATATGATAAGATTCTTCTGTTTTCTATTATAGAAGAACCTGGAAAATTATAATTTATTCGTATAATTTGGCATGTGAGTCTCCAACTTACTTTATATTTCCATACATGGCAGCCTGCTATATCTAACGCAGCTCTTGATGTTCCCAGGGTGAGGATGGTAGCAGATGGAGATAAAAGGACAAGAGTAAGACTTCATAAGACTGAGGTCATACGGAGCAGTCTCTCCTGATGGGAAAGAAGGAATAAGTGGAAAAGAGGAGGAGAAGAAGAGAGCTACAAGAGTTGTAGCATGTTTATGACTTGGGAGTTAATAACACATAAAAACTCTCTACTTAATACTAGCTTATCATGTAGCTTGTCTCAGGGATGCTGTGTTCTTGAGACTAGAGTATCTTATTACTATGACCTGCTTCAGGTGCTGTGTTCCTGAGGTGGCCTTGTTGATTTACAACTTAGGACACTCTCCAAATATCCCCCTTTTCTGTCTTATTATTGTAAATGATGGATAGTTATTTGACTTTTGAGGAGGCTCATTTGGGAGAATATGTAGGAACCTTTTTCTGAAATCCTTTCCATTCTAGATTAACTTGTTCAATTTATGATAAAGATTCCCAGTCCAAATTTTTAAATCCCCATTATCAAATTAGTCCTATATTGTGCATTATCCCAGAACAGTGATTAGTTACTAGTGTAATTAGAAATTATTTTATACCTCTGTGGTTACACTTTTTGCTGGATAGTCTAGATAAAATTAAGGCAAGAAGTGTATTAATGAATTTTGTTATTTTTAAAGGTCAATTAAGTTTCCTCAGAATTTACCTTGGAGCCATGTATAGCACCTCTAGTTCTTTCGTAAGTTTCAGCCATTTGGATGAATCATGATCAGGGCTTGACCAAGTTACTTTCTGTGAAAGCTTGGAAGAACATTTTCCTCTGTGGCTTTCCTTAGTCACATTATACAACATATGTCTTATCCTTTGTGGTCCTACAATCTCTTTGATGAGGAGCTTGTATAACCCACAAGAGTTGCAGGATGTCATTGAAAATGTTACCTCATGTCTTGGGTATTCACCGAGCTCTGAGGTCTTGGGCCAAAATATTGGCTGTCCTCTTAGCCTGTCAACCACTCTAGCATTTTCTGCATACCTCAGTGGTTGAATAACCAGAAGAGAAGGTTAATGATATAATATTTTGCAATGAGAGCAGTGAGCTTAATATTAGTATTTTATCTGAATACCAAGCAAAACACCATATGTCATACTATAACATGACAATCCTGATATTTTTGAAATGTACACAAATATCCATTTTGACATAGTATAGCTCATTTAATCAACCATCTCTGTCTAATTCATAGGATGATTTTACCTAACTTGTTAGCCTTTAATGAGATGTCACTGACTGAAGCATACTGTTTATGTATCTCTAAATATAATAGTTCTATATAATATATACATCATATATATTTTTGTTATTATAACTTACAGATGACTTCATGTTAGGTTAACATGAACAACCTATAGCAATTATTTAGAACAGCAAAGAAAAGTAAATGTCTGAATCAAAAGGAAAAGGTCTATTGTAATAAACAATCCCTGTTTTGCACTGTAGAAGGCCTGTACATCTGAATATATTTAGTACCCATGACATTAACAACAATCAATTTCATAGCCTTTTGAGTATTTTTGGTTTTTAAATTTGGTTTTCAACCAAAGCATCTATAAATTAGAAAACTTTATTGTTTCATTTTTAGAAAACATAATCTTTTGATGATGACTATGATAAGCATATCACGAGTATATTTTTAATAAAATTCACTGGGGTGTCTCCCAGAAGGAGAAGGCTATGAAGATTATTGGGATTCCTGTTAATGAACAAAGATTGGGCCAGTGATATAGCTCAGTAGAATAAGTGCTTTTCTGGCAAGCGCAGGGTCCTAAATTCAATCCCTGGGACCACAAAAAAAAAAAAAAATGAACAATGGCTGAGACAGTTTTTCTCAGGCAGCTCCTTTATTCGATAAAGGGACTCGTGATCAAAGATATTACAGGTTCATGGTGTCCCCATTTAGTTATTTTAACAAATTTCTGAAGACTTAAGAGAAAATTAATTTTTATATATTGAACAATTGGAACGCAGGTGAAAGCATGACTTTAAAAAATGATCCAAAAAATAATAATAAAAAAATTTTAAAATGATCCAAAAATAAGGAGTGGGGGACTTGTTCAACTCAAGATTTAAAAAAAAAAACTGTTCACAGATAAGACAAATGGAAAAACAACATATACAAACTATCTGTTAATGATGTACAAGTTCACTCAAATATATTTTTGGCCAAATTAAATTGTACCACATTATGATTTTAGAAGTTTGTAATTGTAAACTGATTAGTCAGAATTGTTTTTAGATTAGTTATCAGAGATTCTTTACAAGAAGATTCAGAAGAAACAAAACCTTTCATCTATAAATAATATAAAATTTTGTATTTTATTCATTCTTTTTTTTCTTTTTATTGTGGAACTGGGGATTGAACTCAGGCCCTTGCACTTGCCAGGGAAGCGCTTATTCCACTGAGCCATCTCCCTGGCCCCTTTATTCATTCTTAAGAATACTGGCATCTTTGTGTCTCTTTCACATTACTTCCAGCTAAGTTGTCTCTGTACACTCTTTCATGTATACAGATCTTCCTTCTTATTTTTGTTACTGTCTCTTGGGTCTACTGGGTCATTTTCTTTAACTGACCTCGTGTTGGCTCTCACTGCTTCTTTGTTTTTGGCTGTAGAGTAGACTCTATACCATCACTGCCAGGATTGATCATCAGCTTCTTGAGAGGTGGAATCAACTCCTTGTTGAGTTTGAGTCCACGATGCATCTAGAGAACACACTCTGTCACACAGATATTCTGTTTAGCATTTCTCAACCTCAAAATAACACTGGGCTGTGTCTGTTCTATAGTCCATTCTAAAGATCTTTCCAAAGGACCCTTCTTAACATTTTTTCCTTTACCTGATTGAATTGTTTTTCTACTGCTGTACTGCCATCTTTAGTATGATTTAAATAGTATAGAATTCTGTATGAGGTGTGAAGTTTTTAAGGAATGATTCTCTCTTTTGTTTTTGTATTTGAATTTAGAGTGTATGGTAAGCACAGTCAACAATTGCCTGACCTTGAGGAGTATGAGAAATTCCCATGGTAAGGGAAATGAAAAACTTTTATAAAATATTTGGAAGGCAGTACTCATATACAGTGGGCCATTGTCAGTCTTAAGTGATAGTGGATAGCCAAGGATACTAAAGGAATCCAAGGAACAAGCTATGACATGCTTAACCACTTCACTAGTGTGGGCAGAAGCAAAAACAAACCCTGAAGAAGTTTCCACTGAGGCATGGACCCAGGGTAGAGATTCAAATTCAGGAATATGAATGACATCCACTTTCCAGACAAGTTTGGGGTAAACTTCAAGGAAAAGCCCCCATAGAGAGTGAAGAAAGATGTATCATACATAAAGAACATCATTTATTGGTTGTCAGTCTGTTCTCAAAATAAATGAGCTGCTTATGCAATGAAGAAGCATTTAAATTTAAGATACATGGGAGGAAGAGAAGCCAACAAAACAGTATCTAAGGGAGCAATGGTGACAGTAGCCCACAATTCATCCATAGTAGCATTTCCTTTAGTAAGAGGCCCTTGCGATTGGGTATAGGAATGTATATTCTGATAAAACATGGGACATGGCATGACCCAATGGCAAATTGGAAAATGTGAACCAAATGAAAAGATCTTCCTAGTTAATGTGAACAGTGGTAAGCACAATGGAGTGCTATCTGAATAGCGGTTAGTTAGAGTGGATGAATAATCTTGTAAGGTTCATATAATAATCTGAACTCATTCTTTTGTATAGAAAAAGAAACACATATCCTGCATTCAAGAAGTCATAACATAACCTTCTCTGCCTGAAGTGGAGCAATTTTTGAAAATAGAGATACCTCACACTATGAGAGCTGAATTTATTTTTGAAGGAAAGACTAAGGTTATGAGGGAAGAAAATTGAATTAGTCTGCAGGATAATGAAAATCAGTTACAACAGGGAAGTTTCCTACTGTCATTTTCCAAGAAGAATTGCCACAACCTCTGTTTTTTGAACAGAAGGAAAGAGAACAAGGCTATTTTGCACCTCACGACCGAAAAGCTGAATAGCATGAGTCTGCTTATGTGCAATCAATCCTTTTTATGATGCCTACAGCATCATAAAAGGTAGTAATCATTTTATGGGTAACATGTAGCATATATAACCATTCTAGAAGACCATAAGACTGCCAGAGGACCCCAGTGGTCATATGTTGAGTTGGAAAAATAATTAAAAACATTGGCAAAGATAGGTAAACTATAAAGTGTTCAGCAATAGAGATTTAAACTAGCTTTGTCCAAGGTGGTTTTATTCTATAACATTAGTGATTTTGGAAAGGTATTGGCTAGGTCCTCCTTGAGACTGTCAAAGAGAAGGGCTAAATCATGAATTGTTAGCTTAAGAGGAGCACAGAGCCAGTTAATAACACCCTGTAGAGTCTGAAAATCAGTTAGG